TAACCAAATGAGTTGTAACTTTGGAAGGCTAATCAAGACCCGATTTGAAACCATTTAAGCACTGTGGAGCGAAAAATTTAAATTTTGCATCAGTCTAATGGACACCCTTGAAAGAAGGCGAAGACTACAACAGGCGACATTCGTGGCGAAGTTGCTAAATGGTGAAGTCGATTCTCCCCGGCTACTTTCTATGTTGGACTTCCGGGCTGCTCAACGTCCTCTTCGGCAGCGGTCACTACTACAGTCGTACAGATTTCACCGTACTTTGTTTGGATATAATGAACCAATATCGTCGATGATTCGAGCTTTTTCGGTGGTGGAGGATCTCTTTGAGTTCGGCGAAACGTCTGGTCGTTTTAAAAATAGAATTACTAGTTTGTCAATTTTGTAGCTGTTTTGAAAATGTATTCTCATATTCATTAAGACCACATATGTCAGATAAATTACAAATAAATAAATAAATAAATAAACCGCATCCGGGAGCTACGAGTCGAACGATGCAAGAAAATCTTGAACTTCCTTAAGCGAAAAAATCCGGTAATCCTGTTCACCGACGAGGCATGTTTACCGTCGATCCCGTATCAAATTCCAGAACCGACCGGTATATTAGTTCTCTTCCGGTAAAAGACTTGGCCGATGAGCATAAGAACGTGTATCTGACCAAGCATCCTGCTAGCGTTATGGTGTTTGGATTGGTGGCTTCCGATGGCAAAACAATTTACCCGGTGTTCATTCCAGAAGGCGACAAGGTCAACACGGAGGCCTACATCGGGATTTTAAGTAAGTATGTTCTTCCGTGGATCAAAGAACAGTACGGTCCGAAGCCAAATGTTGTATTTCAACAAGATGGGGCTCCGTGCCACACCTCGAACCGCACTCAGAAGTGGTTGCAGGAATATCTTTCGTTCTGGGCAAAGGATATGTGGCCGCCATCCAGCCCCGATCTTAATCCGCTGGATTACTCAATATGGCGCGTCATGAAGGCCAAGGCCTGTTCTAAACGCCACCCGAGTACAGCAAGCCTCAGACAAGCATTGACCCGTACCTGGAGAGAAATGGATCCAGACTACATTATTAGAACCTGCCGTGCATTCCGGAAGCGTGTGGAGGCCGTAATTGCCGCAAGTGGAAACTCGATCGATGATTAACATAGTTTAAGACTCTGAAAAACATCCCCCCTTTGAATAAATAAAAAAAAAACTTGAAAACGAAATTTTTGCGATTTTTTTAATTTCGACATTGCTCAATGGTGCAAACATTATCACGCATACGGTAAATTATGAAATTAGTTCAAAATTATTTAACTGACAGAACTCTGCAGGTAAATTATCAAAATTCCAAATCTGAACGACTACCTGTTAGACCAGGAGCTCCTCAGGGTAGCATTCTTGGGTCCATATTGTATAACATTTTCACTTCGGACCTCCCTGATTTGCCTCAGGGTTGCCACAAATCGTTGTTCGCTGATGACACAGTCGTTTCCGCTAAAGGAAGAAGTCTTCGTGTTATTTGCAGCATACTGCAGAAAAGTTTAGATATTTTCTCTTCTTATTTACAAAAATGGAAGATTTCTCCCAACGCTTCAAAAATCAAAATTATAATATTTCCACATAAGCCTAGAGCTTCCTTTTTGAAACCTAGTAGTAGTCACATAGTCACTATGAACGGAGTTCCAATTTTTTGGTCTAGTCAAGTGAACTATCTTGGATTAGTAGTTAACCAAAAATTAACTTTTAAAGATCACATTGAGGGCATTCAAGCCAAATGTAACAAATATATAACATGTTTGTATCCTCTTATAAACAGGAAATCCAAACTTTGCCGGACGAATAAACTTCTAATATTTAAACAATCCTGATGAATGTGGGCGTCTTAGTGGAATACCTGTATAAAGAGAGGGAGAGAGAAGGATTAGTAATTTCCATTTAATTCCACTACCTTATTTGCTTACCTTGACAGATACGCGTATTTCGTCTACAATGTGCAGACTTCTTCAGTGTTTTGTACAGTCGAGTATTAGTATCCTTCTTTCTCTCTCTCTTTATACAGGTATTCCACTAAAACGCCCACATTCATCATCAGGAGTCATAGATTCCTCTTTTTCGATGACAGAATTCTCACTTGCTCTCCTTTCATGTAACAATTCTGGATCAACAACAGAAAAGGGCCCATCAGCATTTGTAAACAAACCGTTCCAAAGCCCATTCCTCACAAATCGAAGGCCGTCCATACAAACCAACACCATCATCGTGTAGTTATAAGTTTCCCCTATACGATGATGGTGTTGGTTTGCGTGGGTGGCCTTCACTTTGTGAGTAAAGGGCTTTGGAACGGTTTGTTTACAAATGCTGATGGGCCCTATTCTATTGTTGATCCAGAATTCAGCTCCGGGAATGGATTGAATCAAGTTCAACTTGCTCAATTAATCTCCCAGACGTCGAAAAGATACGCTTGTTGAACTTATTCAATCCATTTCTGGAGCATTTTGGATGGTCGGAGGCAAGTGAGAGTTATTGCCCTTCGGAAACCTGGTAAACCCGCGTCGGATTATAACTCGTACCGTCTTACCGCGATGCTATCATGCATACCGAAATTGTTGGAGAAAATCATTCTTCTTCGTCTGGACAAGTGGGTCGAGACGAATGGTTTACTTTCAGATATGCAATTTGGATTTCGGAGGGGCAAAGGAACGAATGACTGTCTTGCGTTGCTTTCTACCGAAATTCAGCTGGCTTATGCACGAAAACAGCAAATGGGTTCAGTTTTCATGGACATTAAGGGGGCTTTTGATTCCGTTTGTATCGACGTCTTTGCGGACAAACGCCACACAAGTGGGTTTACACCAGTTATGAACAACTTCTAGAGCAATATGTTGGCTGAGAAATATATGAGCTTTTCTCATTGAAACTCGACAACTTCACGAGTTAGTTACATGGGCCTCCCCCAGGCCTCATGTTTAAGCCCCCTTGTTTATAATTTTTATGTAAAATACATTGATGGTTGTCTTGTAGATGACGGCGTTGTGTCCGTTATAGGGCCAAGTGCACCGGACCTGCAAGGACCATTGCAAGACACCTTGGACCATTTGTCTACTTGGGCTGGGTATCGAATTCTCTCCGGAGAAAACTGAGTTGGTTGTTTTTTTCTAGGAAGCATCATCCTGCACAGTTACAGCTTCATCTAATGGGTAAAACAATCACTCAAGGTATTTCTTTTAGGTATTTAGGTGTCTGGTTCGATTCCAAATGCACATGCACATAGGGAAAACTTATTACGTATCTGAAACAAAAATGCCAGCAAAGGATTAATTTTCTTCGTACAATTATCGGAACTTGTTGATCAGGTTGTACCGAACAATTATTCTTTCGGTTTTAGAGTACGGCAGCTTTTGCTTCCAATCCGCAGCAAAAACACACATCCTGGGTTCCAATACCGTTGCCTTCGTATTGCGCTAGGCTGTATCCACTCGATGTACTCGCGGGTGTCCTTCCCCTAACAGATCGTTTCGCTGAACTGTCTTTCCGGTTTCTCATCCGTTGTGAAGTAATGAATCCTTTGGTAATAGGAAACTTTGAGAAGCTGCTCGACCGAAATCCTCGAACAAGATTCATTAGTTTGTACTATAAGTACATTACGCATGAGGTTGGTCCTTCTTCATTAATCTCCAATCGTGATTGCTTTCAAGCCTTCTATAGTTCCTATGTAAATTTTGATCTGACCATGATGCAAGAAATCCATGGAATACCAGATCACCATCGGTCAATGGTTGTTCCACCATGTAAGTAACGATTTTTTTTTTATAGATGGGTCAACCATAAATGCTTCCACTGGATTGAATCAATTTCATAGCGCCTCCTACAAACTGCAGAAACCATGGTCCGTATACGTTGCGGAGCTCGCAGTTATATTTTACGCAGTGGAGCGAATTTCCTCACTACCTTCTGACCATTATTTCATTTTTACTATTCGTTCAATGTGGCCGATGAAGCACTCCTCATGCTATGTCTGTTTGTCTGTGATTATATATTCAACGAAAATTCGGTGTATATTTTCAGTTTACTCAACTTGTTCGAATACGATAAACTATCGATAAATCCCGACGGAACTCGGAGGACACCGCACCGGAACATCCACCCCCGCCTTGAGGCAACACTGCCTCAATCCATTGGCAAAACACAGATCTTCTGAACAGGGCGTAAATACTCCACTTGACCACGCCGCAGGGTAACAGTCCGAACAACTCCTGTTGAGTCCGGGTGCAGCTTCACTATACGGGCCAACTTTGAGCTGGCGGCGCATTGTCGTTCCTGACCAGCACAAGCTGACCTTTTTCCATGTTTACCTCCGTTGTTCCGACCCGAATGACCTAAAAGGTTAAAAGGTCGATAATAAACAAACAAACAAACAAACCTCCGTTGTTCGCCGTTTCGTCCTAGGTTGCTTCGTCATCTCGTCAACGCTGCCAGATTTCGGTTGTTTGCTTGTGTAGGAGTTGCCACTTGTCCAGACGGTTCATCGGGATATGGCGTACATCTGGTTCTGGGATGAGGTTTACTTATGTATGGGCCCAAATTAGGGACAGCCAACATTGCATCTATTTCCCCTATGACCTTTTTTAAAAATCGTTTCATATGTTCTACGAAACCCATGTGCTTTTACAGTGATCTTATTGAACCAAAGTATACCTTAATCATCCATCTTGAAAATTAATGAGAAAGATTTGGAATTACGGTAATTTGAAATTATTGAAAGATAAAATTCTATTGCTCGGAGGGGTTGACAAAGTCAGGTATCACATTTAATCAACCCTTGCAACACGTTGGTACTACTTGGTACTAGTATGGAGTTGAGGATATTTGTAGTATAGAATTTATTATTCGAGTATTTGGAATAATAAAGTCAACCAGCAATTATATTTATCCATGAATTATTGCAAACTCTACAACGTATATAATGTAACGAACCTAACACCGGCATTTCCCCCTTTTCGTCCATTCCAGCTCCTGGACATGCTAAAGTTCTACGCCCGCTTCGAAATCAACGACGAAACGGGAGACCCGCTGACCGACCATGACATGACCCAAATCCACTACTCCAAGATCAAAGCCCTCCAGAAGGCCGCGTTTGCCAAGTTTCCGGACCTCCGGCTGTTCGCCCTCTCGAACGTGGCCAACGTCGACACCCGAGAATCGCTGGAAAAGCACTTTGGCGCTCTGGACGGCAAAAGCTTGAAGGAGATCGCTTGCTACTTGAACCTGGTTCCGGAAGAGCTCGAAGCGCCCTTCGATTGGCATCGATTGGATGAACCATTCCTGCGGGAGCTGCTGATCTCGCGGCACGAGCGAAGGGTGTCGCAGCTGGACTCGTTGAACGAGATGCCACTGTATCCGACGGAGGAGATCATCTGGAACGAAAACATCGTTCCAACGGAGTACTACTCCGGCGAAGGCTGTTTGGCTCTGCCGAAGTTGAATCTGCAGTTTTTGACGCTCCACGACTACCTGTTGCGGAACTTCAATCTCTTCCGGTTGGAATCGACTTGTAAGTTGGATATTGATCTTCCGATTCCATTATAAACTAGCATTATAATTCCGTTCATAAACTTTCAGATGAAATTCGGCAGGACATCGAAGACGCCGTCAGCCGAATGCTTCCGTGGCAATCGGAGGAAGGGGACGTTGTGTTCGGAGGTTGGGCCCGAATGGCACTTCCGATCCAGTCGTTTGCAGTCGTCGAGGTGTCCAAACCGCACATTGGTGAGAAGAAGCCATCGCGCGTGCGGGCCGATGTCAGTGTGACGCTCAACGTTCGCAAGGAAATCCAAGATGAGTGGGAGAATTTACGGAAGCATGATGTATGCTTCTTGATTACCGTGAGACCGACAAAACCAATTGGCACCAAGTATGATTACAAGGAGCACTTTATACCGCAAGTCGGGTTGGTGCACGTCAGGGGATGTGAAATCGAAGGAATGCTCGATGCTAACGGGAGAGTCATCGAGGATGGAATCGAGCAGCGACCGCAGTTGACTGGGGAGCAGCGTACGTACAGGATTTGGTTGGACTCCAACCAATATCGAGTGGATATGGATGATCTTCAAACGGGTGGGGATGACGTGTACGAGGAGTTCAACATAATCATGCGTCGGAAGCCGAAGGAGAACAATTTCAAAGCTGTTCTGGAGACTATCCGGCACTTGATGAACACGGAATGTGTAGTTCCGCCGTGGTTGCACGATATCCTCCTAGGATATGGTGACCCAGGGGCGGCTCACTATAGTCGGATGTCGGACCAGGCACGGGTGCTGGACTTCAATGACACGTTCCTGGATATCGATCACGTTAGGGGCAGCTTTCCGGGATACGAGACTGTTGTGAAGGAAACGGAAGCCAGTAAGTTGGTGCGTCCCTTCCGGTTGACGTTTGAAGATGTTGCCGAACAGGTGGACAGTAGCGATGAAGAGGACGACGATAAGAAGGTTGAATTGCCGAAGAATATCCTGGTGGAGCCGTACACGATTCCCAAGCGTGGACCGTATAAGTACAACGAGCCGAAAAGGTATGAAACTTTGACTCTAGGTTAACCGTTTGTCCGTATGTTGGGGTCAATTTGTACTAAGGCAAGTAGCCAACGTGCTACAATTTTCAGTAGCGCCAAGTTAATTTACATACTGGGAGAGTTCCAATCCCTTGGACACTTCTTTCAACGGACGGCTTTCCTGCATAGAGTGATGAACTTGGCAATTTTAATCTCTTCACACCAGTGGCGTCGCGTAACCTCACTTTTTACCTGTTCAACAACTTTGAAAACTTATTACGGTCATATTTACATTCAAATCAGTTTCAAAAGGCACAGGGTCTTCTAGTTCCACTGATATGTATCCATTAGAAGCAATATTTTTTTCATTTATTTAAGTTTTGAGATTTGGTAGAACAGGTAGATTGAGGTTAGGGCGCCACCACTGCTCCACAATAACCGACTCTAACAACCCATCCATCTTCCCTCCCACAGAAACACCATCCGATTCACGCCAACCCAGGTGGAAGCCATCAAGGCTGGCATGCAACCGGGCCTAACGCTGGTGGTCGGTCCCCCCGGTACCGGCAAAACCGACGTCGCCGTACAGATCATCTCCAACCTGTACCACAATCACCCGAATCAACGTACCCTGATCGTAACGCACTCCAACCAGGCATTGAATCAACTGTTCGAGAAAATTATGGCCCTGGACATTGACGAACGGCACCTGCTGCGTTTGGGTCACGGTGAGGAATCCCTGGAGACGGAGAAGGACTACAGTCGCTACGGGCGCGTGAACTACGTCCTGTCGAAGCGTATTGACCTGCTCGGACAGGTACAGCAGCTGCAGGATTCGCTGGGTGTCGTCGGAGACGTTGCCTATACCTGTGAAACGGCAGGCCACTTCTATCTATATCAGATCATCGCCCGTTGGGAGAAGTTCCTCAACGATTTCGAAGGCAGCAAGGAGTACAAGAATGCTGCTGCCTTCGAAGAAGAGTTCCCTTTCACCAAATTCTTCCAAGATGCTCCGCAACCACTCTTCCATGGAAGCACCTTCGAGGAGAACATGGAGATTGCTCAGAGTTGCTACCGTTACATTTCCCATATCTTCACCGAGTTGGAAGAATTTCGAGCTTTCGAGCTGCTGCGCAGCGGTTTGGATCGCTCCAAGTACCTTCTGGTAAAGGAGGCCAAGGTCATCGCTATGACCTGTACGCACGCCGCCCTAAAAAGAAAAGAGTTGGTCAACATGGGCTTCAAGTACGATAACATCCTCATGGAGGAGTCCGCTCAAATTCTTGAGATTGAAACCTTCATTCCGCTGCTGCTTCAAAACCCGATGGACGGGTACAACCGTTTGAAACGTTGGATCATGATCGGAGATCATCACCAGCTTCCACCGGTCATCAAAAACATGGCATTCCAAAAGTATTCCAACATGGAACAATCGCTCTTCACCCGATTGGTTCGATTGGGCGTTCCGACGATCGACCTGGACGGACAAGGTCGTGCCCGATCCAGCATTTGCGAACTTTACAAATGGCGGTACACTAAACTCGGTGATTTGGATCACATCACCCAGTGGTCCGAGTATCTCAACTGCAATCCAGGCTTCGCGTACGATTACCAACTGATCAACGTGGACGATTTCAACGGAGTGGGTGAATCGGAACCCAATCCCTACTTCTACCAGAACCTGGCGGAAGCCGAATACATCGTAGCGGTGTTCATGTACATGCGCATGATCGGCTACCCGGCCGAGAAGATCTCCATTCTGACCACCTACAACGGTCAGAAGCATCTGATTCGGGATGTGATCGATGCTCGTTGCGCCGATAACCCACTAATCGGGAAACCGTACAAGGTCACCACCGTTGACAAGTACCAAGGTCAACAGAACGACTACATCCTGCTGTCGTTGGTTCGTACTAAAACGATCGGACACATTCGGGACGTGCGTCGTCTGGTGGTCGCCATGAGTCGTGCCCGGCTTGGTTTGTACATTTTTGGACGGGTTTCGCTGTTCAAGAACTGCGTCGAGTTGCAACCGGCATTCAAGTTGCTGACAAAGCGTCCGCTTCAATTGCATCTTGTCGGAGATGAGACGCTCCCGAGCACTAGGAAGGTGGATGACAAGACCGGAGATAAGAAGCCCGCCGTAATCAAAGATATGACCGATATGGCACAGTATGTGTACAAGTTCTACATGACGAAGGTCAATGTGATCCGTGACGAGATGGTAAGTTTTCCGCATGAATAGATTTGATACTGTACTTTAACTTTGTCTTTTTTGTTCTTAATAGGAAAAGATGAAGGAGCTCTACGAGCAGCAGCAAAAAGAACTGGCTGCCAATCAATCAGCTCAAGAAGAAGATTCGGAGAAGAATGTCGTAAAACCCGGGGAGAAAGAGCAGCAGCAACCGGAGGAATTTGTTGCAATTCCAATCTGTAATTTGGTTGACCAGTTTGATCAGCAGCTGGTGACGCAGAAGAAGCGTACCAAGAAGAAGGGGATTCTTGGGATGCCGGTGGCGAAGAAAACTGCAGTGAAGGAGAAGGGCTCTGAAGAAGTTCAGGAAAAGCTGCCGGAAAGTATGGAAACAGCTCCAGAAGAAACATCCGACGTTGAACAACAGGATGACGAAGGAAAAGATGAAGAGAATGTCCCGGTAGATCAGCCCGAGACAATGGAGACGGAAGCAACTGACGGTGGGGAAGGCGAGGAGGTAAGCGAAGGTAAGGACTCAAAGGAGACGGAAGCAACTGAAGGAGGGGAAGTGAAGGGGATAAGCGAAGATAAGGAGTCGAAGGAGACGGAAGCACAGGAAGGTGAAAAAGGTAAGGAGGTAAACGAAGATAAGGAATCCCAGGGGCAGCAAGAATGAGCAATTAGGGATTTTCCATAATACATAGCTTATCATTCATCAGCTACATAATTTTCTATCGATTCAATAAAAGTATTAAAGTATTCACCAAAAAGTGTTACAATTTTTAAAGAGATAGTGATTGAGAAATAGTTTTGGTAATGTTTTCTAGTATAAGTTTAGTCTTCGTTTGTTACAACTAATTTAAAAAAAGCACATACTAATTTAGGGTAACATATCGAATTGTACGGTTTCCTTTTATGGAGCATCTAGGGGAACTTAATGCCACAGAGAAGTAGACATAACTCTCACATGTTCCGGATGAATGTGGGCGTCTTAGTGGAACACCTGTATAAAGAAAGAGAGAGAAAAGGATTAGTAATTTCCATTTAATTCCACTACCATATTTGCTGGCCCCTCTCCTTGGCTAGTTTTTAACCTGGCCGTTGGTGGGCGGGCCTAATCTTATGCTTCATAGTGGCGCGTTGGAGACGGTTGGTTTAGTGTCATGAGCATGCGATGAGGATAACTGAGCTTCCCCTCTCTGATGAACCATTGCATGAGACAACCAAAGTTCTAGCCTAAAGTGATATTATCACACCTGTTACTCCTTTTTTAAGAGCCGCGTCGTAGTACACTTACGTATAGGCACTGACGTTGGGTGCGATACTGGCGGGGTTTTCCGCAAATAACTCTTATTTATTTTGAAGGTTGCTTTAAAATATCAATTTGCTATATATGTGAAAGGATGAATCAGTGGGAGATGGATTTTCGGTTTCTTTACATTTTGCAGCACAAATCTAGTAGTATGTGTCATTTCTTCAAAACCCCCCAACAACCGACCTCTTCAATCCCTTCCTTTTCCCATGGCGTTCAAGTGATCCGCTTTACCCTTCCCTTATCCTCGGCTTTGGATTGACTTGCGCTCCCATTGCCCCATCAAACGCTGCAAAATGAAAATGAAAAATGCAAATTCCACTATCATATTTGCTTATCCTTGACAGATACGCGTATTTCGTCTACAATGTGCAGACTTCTTCAGTGTCTTGTACTAATACTCGAGTATTAGTACAAGACACTGAAGAAGTTTGCACATTGTAGACGAAATATACGTATCTGTCAAAGATAAGCAAATATTAAGGTAGTGGAATTAAATGGAAATGACTCATCCTTCTCTCTCTTTCTCACATGTTGTTTATCGAACACGCATTCAACGGAAATTGGGAAGCTGTCAGTTCAAATGCCTCGTATTAATTAGCGGAATAAAAGCAGAAAGCGATATTGAGGTCCGAACGAGGCTGCTCAGTAGATTAGAAGAACAATTCTAGATAGAGCTGGAATTAGGGCGTAACAGCTTTTGTAAACAATGACTTCTCTCTATGATCTCTAGAAAGCCAAGGCTCGCTCACTCAAATCAACGTCACCATCTGATAGGGGAAGACTTCCCCTTCCCGTTGGTTATGTTAGTTTGCGTAAGCGTGCCTTGAATTTCGAGAAATCATCGAGAGAAGTCATTGTTTACAAAAGCTGTTACGCCCTAATTCCAGCTCTATCAAGAATTGACATCACACTGCAGCAAATATCTGACGTATGTCATTGGCTTCTAGACCTCGGTGATGATAAAGGAAGTAATGGGTTCAGCCTCAAGAGGTCGGTTGGATTTTTCTGAGGCTTAAAAATCTCTGGTCACGTGTTCCTTCGGAAGGGAAGTAAAGCCGTTGGTCCCGGCCCATCCCAAGTAACAAATCTAGAGCTGCTTGGCTATATTCAAAATTTATAAAGGTTTTATTGCAGCTACAACCATTACCTACAGCTTTATCACGGTCATATACAATGCAAGTCATGAAACATTCTTATAGCTATCTACAAAACCCCTATAAAGCTAATTAAAAAACCAACTGATGCTTATTCTATTTTCACTTATGAAAGGTTTTATGATTGCTTTGCAGTATACAAAAAAGTAATATGAATTACCCTTATAAAACCAAAAAATAAATCCTTTCGTTGCTTTATAAGTAAGCGCAATAAAACTAGTTGGCCATGAAACAGTTATTTTAAAACAATTATAAGCATTCAGTTGCAACTTGTCAGAAATGTAAATAGGTGGTTTATTTTTACAACATAGAAAAGAATCAAAACTTTCCGGTACTTCCAAGCGGAGCGCAAAGAAAATCAACAAAATTGTTAGCATGAGCATGAAAACATTTCGACGTAGTGTGCGTAAGAAAAACGTCAGCAATCTCCATGATTCTTCCGTTCTCGCTCGCATATAAAGGGTGATACGGTCAAAATTTGGTCAAGGGAAAACGCGTGTAAATCGGTGAAATCGTTTATTTAAAAAATCAAATTAAATTTCTTTTTCAAGTTCAATTAGTATAAAATTCAGGATAAATATTCAGTTAGGCTTCCGCTTTTCCAAATCCAAATTGCCGGGCCTTACGCTTGACCCCTGCCATCAGATTTTGTACAGCCACCTTGTCCACCTTCTTCGCCGCAGAAAGCCAGTTTGCCAGGAAATGCTGCTCGCCCTTAGCAGTTTTTTTGGTCTTCTTTAGGTTCCGCTTGACAATAGCCCAGTATTTCTCAATTGAGCGGAGCTCTGGCGTGTTGGGAGGGTTCTTGTCCCTGGGAACCACCTGCACGTTGTTGGCGGCGTACCACTCCATGGCCTTTTTACCGTAATGGCAAGATGCCAAATCCGGCCAAAACAGTACGGAACAACCGTGTTTCTTCAGGAAAGGCAGCAGACGTTTATTCAAACACTCTTTCACGTAAATTTCTTGGTTGACAGTCCCGGAAGCTATGAAAATGCTGCTTTTCAAGCCACAGGTACAGATGGCTTGCCAAACCAGATATTTCTTTGCGAACTTTGACAGTTTCATGTGCTTGAAAACATCTGCTACCTTTCCCCTTCCTTTTGCCGTATAAAACTCCTGTCCCGGAAGCTGCTTGTAGTCGGCTTTGACATAGGTTTCGTCGTCCATTACCACGCAGTCAAACTTCGTCAGCATCGTCGTGTACAGCCTCCGGGATCGCGCTTTGGCCGTCGTATTTTGTTTATCATCGCGATTTGGAGTCACTACCTTCTTGTAAGTCGATAGTCCGGCTCGTTTTTTGGCTCGATGCACGGTTGTAGACGATACACCCAGCTTATTTGCGGCATCTCGGAGAGAGAGGTTAGGGTTTCGCTTGAAACTACCGGCAACTCTCTTTGTCGTCTCAGCGGCTTCCGGTTTTCGATTTCCCCCCGATCCAGACTTCCTGGCTGTCGACAAACGTTCCCCAAACACTTTAATTACATTTGTAACGGTTGATTTGGCAACTTTTAGCGATTTTGCCAACTTTGCGTGCGAGTAGCTCGGATTTTCGCGATGCGCGAGCAAAATTTTGATACGCTGCTCTTCTTGCTTGGACGGCATTTTGACAACTGAAGAGTGAATTCCAAAATCAAAATAGGAGCAACATTCTACACACACACACCTTCAAAATGAGGGGTGTTCAGGTTTTTTAAATGCAAAATTGAAAGAAATACGTCAAGTTGATATTGACCAAATTTTGACCGTATCACCCTTTACATGGGGTGACACGGTCGAATCTTGGTCGAAATACATGGAATGGTGACAGTCCTAAGGCAAAAAGGTTGAAATCACGCATAACTTTTCATAAAGGTTAATGTACCATTCAAAACTTTTCTAAATGTTTGTAAAATTCATCGGTTGCACCCGTAGAATAGGAATATACATTTGCCCTCAAATAAAAAAAATAATTCAAGCTGAACATTGCATTAGGCCCTAAGTAATATTGACAGATTCGCTTCGTCAACTTTCTCTTTGCATCCCCACGGTCATGTAAAGACATTCCCAGGTATTTTCAGCACATAAATCGATAATAGAAGCTTTTATCTAGCATCCAATACGACAAACACATCAAGAAACGGTTCTGTGAATAAGTTATTAACGAAAGAGAAAGTCGACGAAGAGAATCGATCAATGTTACTTAGGACCTAATCCAAAGTTCAGCTTGAATTGCTCTTGTAAAAAGAAAATAGTTCTCGTAATAACATCATGCATTATGCTTTTCTGTTCTGCTTTCATCCCATGCACACTGGGCCAGGAATGCAACCTAGAGGAGCAAAATTAATAACTCCGAAACGAAGCATTTCCGCGACTTGGTGTCTTCTGCAAAATTTCTCGTCATAATAAGGACCATCTATTGACATAAACAAATAGTTCAAAACTCTTCCGCAAAGATGGTGTCACAATCTAACTTCTTTCTCTGACGTTTTGGAAACTTGATGTCTTCGGCAAAGTTGTTTATCTTGACAAAATGAACAGACGTAAAATTTCCACAGTCTACTGGTTCCAAGTTATATGGAGTTAAAGAAAAAAATGTCGAAAATATGGTTTTCTGTTTCGGTTTTTTTGCTTACAGCTTTATAATGTTATATTTTTCTCTTGTGCAAATACATTAAATAAATAGCTTTTGTGAAGAATCATACTGGATTAAGCTTCAAATTTCAAAAATATTGTTGAAAAAACGAGAAAAAACACAATTTTTGAACATTAATATCTCCCAAAGCGCAAAAAATCGCATCCCTAATTTTCAGCAAAAATTAAGCAATACTCGATAAACAAAATATCAAAATTTGAGAGCGGTATATTTTGGTGTTTTGTAGATTTCTTCATTTTAATGGAACATTATTTTTTTCTATAACTTTACCGGAAAATTTCCATTTGGAAAAAAAAAGTTTCAGCAGAGCAGAACAACAACAAGCTAATTTATGGCGGTTGCTTTGAAGCCAATTAAAATTAAATTGGTTTTATAACTGATTTTTACCAAAGCGTAATAAAACTGCTTGGATACAATATTACCAACAATCAATACGAAACTAACGATTTTAAATTTGCTCACTACTTGACTAGCCTATTGGTCCCAAGCAAACGATTAACGTACCCCATTCTAGTCGAAATTCTAGTACTACGCAATGTTTGTTTTGATTCGCTATGAAAGTTTGACAGATAAAATGAGGGGTTATTGGTTTTTCCTATGTTTCG